CGTATGATTCATCACCCTCCTTACTTGGTGTAAATTCAATCTGTTCTGTTTGTATGACATAAACAACAAGCAGTTTCACAGGAATGAGGCAAACCATATGTGAAGGTGTTTTAGAAAGCACAACAGGGAATACAGCAAGCAAAGAAGCATCTGCATTTATTTCAATGTCAAATCACATGTGTATTATAAAGGGAAAGTTTATTGTTTTTATTAAAAAACAACTTTACTGAACTGTGCTGTTTACAGTTAACTCTTCCTGCCCCTCAGTGTCCTCATGATTTGGCCAAAAAAACCCAGCAGGTAAAATCATAAGGGCTACAGGTGCAGAGGCAGGGTTGCAAAGGGGTCTTCAACCCTTTCCCCCTGCCCAGGCTGGTGTACGCTGCCAAGAGCCTGTATCTTCTCCACCCTCCCCTTGCTACTCCTCTTGGACAGGGGCTGCATCTGCTCCTGACAGCTGCAAGTGAGGACCAAAGCCTGGTCCTCCCCCCCTGGATTTCAGAGGTGCGAGAATATAAATCTAGGTAGGATGTATTTGTTAGTGATGCCTGCAGGCAGTGGGACACCGGCTCGTCTCCTGTCTCAAGATGCTGTCTGATCCTGCACCGATGCTGCACAGACCAGCCTGCAGCCAAGCTACCATGGGCATCATGTGGCACTGCTGTACAGGGCGCTGGGTATTCCCCCACAAAAGGCAGCGCCCTACAATAAATTATTTTTACAGAAGCTGGCCAGAGTCAGCTTAACACATTCGGAGTTCAGGAGAAAATATTTCAAAGCAGCATTTAGCCTGAGTATGAGCTACAGGCACATTGTTAAAAAGCTAATTGCATGGAGACAAAGGATGATCGTTACTTTTATATTGGTGTATAATATTAACCCTTAAGAGCTGTGTTTGATGATAAGTTGTTGGTGATTGAAACTGCTAGTTCATTATTTATATTTAAACGCAAGCTTGAAGATTCCTAGAGTCACAGAAAGTGTTTATGTAATTTTTTTTTGGTATTAAGACAGATAAAAGTTTTAGAAATCTGGGATCTTTTTCCTATGTCCTCTAAAACTATGCATAGAAAACAGTGTTAAAGTGCTGAATTGCTGAAATTATTTCTCAGATCTGTATTTATTATGCACTTTCAGGCAACCTGGCCAAGTGACAACTTGCCATGAAGAACATTTTTTTCCTCAAATTTGGCTTGTTTCAGGGAACAGAAGAACAGGGCTAGAAAGCTTCTGACAGCAGGTTTGGGGCTGCAAGGGTCAAAATTCCTCCACATATTTTCTCTCTCAAGGTTATAGATTTCACCTGTCTTATTCAGACAATAGCCACTAAAAATATTCATGTTCTGCTGCAGGTTACACAGGCTTTTAGTTCAGAAACACAAATTTCTGAGAGAAGGGAGGTTCAGAGACAGGAGGGAGGAAAGGGTCCTGGGGTCGGCTCTCCAGAAAGGTCTGCAAAGCGCTTGGTGGCTGTTTAGCAGCTACGGGGCTGTGACTGCAGCTGACCACATCAACGGCATGCACCTCCCTGTAATATGTGACCACGTTCATCTGTTGTCTTAACCTCTTCTCTCTCGTCTTATGTTTTGGACTCATCCCACTAACCACCAATTCACTGGACCTAAGCAAAAGCCTGCTGCTTTCGGCAAGGCTGTATGTGGGCACAGTGGAAGAGTCACTCGTGTAGGCTGCAAGATCGAAGCTGAAGGCTGCAGGCTTCTGCAGCCAGAATGATCTTTTTATTACATATGTGTATAATGCCCACTGTAAGGAGGTTTGGCTATGGCCTACAGATGTGAGACACTACTGTCAAATTAATATGAATAGAAAAGGACAGGCATGCTATAGCAATGGAAACAAAAAAAAATCACAATTATCAGAAAAATATTTGTGATCACAAAAGAATATTTTGCTTGTACTCGCCAATCTCCCCGCTGGCAAGACCTACAAGAAAAGAGAAGATGAGAGAGAGGAAAGAAGAGAGAAAAACATACAGGGAGAGGTGGGGAGAGAGAGAGGAAAAAAAGAGAGAGGCTGACAGAGTGGATACTTTTAACTTGTCACAGTACAACACTAGCTTTTAATTAATACAGGGTATGTACAACTTTGAAGACTGTTGTTTGTGCAGTATTTTATGATAAATACATTTTATGGGATTTTGTTTTTAAAGAGGATTTTGTAAAATAACCTAGCCCAATAAATGATTTACCAGCTGCAATAAAAGATCAAGGAAATTGCTCAGATTGCATCTTGGAGCATCTAAAACTCTGAAGTTTATGGAGATCTAAGCTGCCCCCAGATCTACAGTCCTATTAAAAATTTTTGTAGTAGCTAATTATCTTGCATTGCATTTTTTAAAAGGTAGCAATCCTAGCAGAGGGGAAGGTCTGGAAACAGACAAAGAGCAATTGATGCCCTTTGATGGAGAAAGTAGGAGAGAAGGAAAGGAGAAGAGACAGACAGAAGTGAGTAACAGCAGAAACATCATGCTGGTATGGTAACAAATGGAACTAACAACTCATAAGGTATCAGATACTCCTTCAATCACACAGGGAAACTGAATTAACTCTAAGTTTAAAAAAAAAAGTATTATTAAGGACACGTTCTTTACATGGCATGCTAAGTGTAATATCTATATTACTTGACCAAGAGTGGAGTAATTTGTTTTCCTATTTTTTTCTTTCTGATAAAGATGATGTTTTACCACAAGAGAAGCAGAAAGCAAAGAAACATTCTCTAAATTCTGTTTTGTTCTAACCTCATGGGATTTTCATGCAATAAATAAGTAAATAAAGCAAGTGCTGGTTCTTATTTCAAACAGGATAACAGAGACAGTAAATAGAATGACATATTGAAATAATAAAACACTAGCCTCAGTTGTCTTCACAGAAGGACGAGCAGCACAGTCACCATGAAGCATGCCTTGTAGCCTTTGTTTCGTACCAGGAATATATGGTTCATGCCCTGTGACTTACTGTGCTCAGACGTACCTCTGGCCCCCCAGGGAACCCTAGCAAAGCCAGTGTCCTTGTAGGCATGGGGCTCCAAAGTCAACTGGGCTTCCTAAGAAAGGACGAAGAAAGGAAAAGTAGAAGCAAAAGGAAGAAAGAACCATCATTTTTTCTTGGTCCCCAAACCAGACAGCGAGGTGCATGCCAACTTAGACAAATGCCTGTTCCCTCTGCTCCTCTGGACGCCTTGTGCAATTGCAGAGGCCACAGGCTTCAAAGCCTGGGGCCAGGCTGCTGCAGGGGCAGTGACCAGAAACCAGTATGTGCTCCAGGAGTGCTTCAGTGCTAAGGAAGGATGGACTTGGGCCCCTTTCCCAACACTTTCAAGCTGAACAACTTTGAAAAGAGTAAAGGATCAATGCTGCTGACTTTAAATGTTAATTGTATCACTGCAATTCTGCAAGACACTGAAGAGGGACAGTGAAGTTCACCACCACGGAAAGCAAGCACCTTGAGATAGAAAGGATTGATGATAAATTGGTTAATTTAGTTTGAAAATTGAGGTAGGTAAAATAAAACAGTGGGAGCCGGCAAGGATATTTGGATGAGAACTGCTACTCTAAAATCTATTCTTAAATTATGGCCAGGATGGGGGAGTCCTTAATTGTCCAAAATAACCATGATTAATTCAGTAGAATTATGGCAGTCTAATTATATGATTGTGTTTTATTTTTCCACTTGATTGCTGCCTCCTGCAATACTCAGGGCTGACCACCTCAAGGGTTGAGTTCAGATTTCTATAGTGAAAATGTACTTTGTGTCTGTAGGGTCTTTACCTAACTTTCTGCCAAACTTTAAGGGCACCAAGTGAATGTGGCAAGTGAGAGCAGGGAATGACTGGACTAGTGATGCTGAAGGCAGCTTGGCTTGCCTGATTAGATAATCCTGCCTACTTTTGATAGGGAAGTAATTTAAAACTAAATTTTCACAGACATCCACCCTATTCTGATGCTCATTTTCTGGATGCTTTATTTGAAACTCTAGGGGCTGATTTGCAGAAGACCATAGGTGCCAGAGATGTACATTACAGGTGGGTTTTGAACACTCAAAACACAATACAGAGCTATGTGAAAGACTGTCAGATCATTTCATTTAGTGAAGGATTGGGTCTTCATTGTTTTCTACTAGTTACAAATAACTGTCCAACTTTTGCAATTACCTTGAAGATGAAATCCCACGAAAAAGAATTATAAGTAAATGAAAAGATTTCATTTTGATGCAGTCTTTTTAATTTCACTTTAATCTATCTTTTCATTTTAAGTCATTCCCCATATGTGTATTTTATGAGAGAGAAAAGTAATAATATTTAAAGTAACATCCAACAAAGGTAGTGCATTGCTCTTAAAATGCTGAAAAGATTTTGCTAGAAATCCTCTTTCATTTCTTCCCCTGACACAGCTTCTCAAAGCAACGCAGCAATGTCAAAATTGCATTCTGAGACAAAAAATGCTTCCAATTTTTTTCTAATCAACTTAAATCATAAATAACACTAAGGAGTCAAAGAAAATTCAAGTCTTCCGTTACTTATAAGTGCTAGAAATATCCTACCTCATATCCCTATCTGTGAAGGTGAAATAACACCCCTTCCTTACTTCACAATGATTTTGTGGAAAAAGTAACTCTTATTTGTAAAATTCTATTGGGAAGGAAAGTATGAGGAAATTAGTAATTCTGAATTCCAGGCAGGGTCTGCATGTTGTAAATAAGACCAGGGGCCACAATGACCAAAAAGCAGAAAATAAAATACTTAATATTTACAAAAATAAATAGCACACACAGAGAAAAATTAGCTCTGTGGAAAAATAGCATATGATGTCATAATCATAACTTGCATGCACAAAGGGGACAAACTGACATTGCTTAGGTAATTGTCAACCTATGTGTTGGATTTTGCAGCCTAATAACATTCATCTGAATGTAGATACCTCTGTAATACAAGAATAACAAGGCATACTTTTGGGTTGTGAAACTGATGATGAGATTATTTACCACACAGAAAAAGTATATTTCTCTAAGTCCTCCAAGTAAAAATTGCTCTCTTCAGATGCTTTCCCTTCTTCTGGTCTTGCATTGTTCCCAGGATCTGATTTTTCTTGATAACATTGGTCAGGTGGGTTATTCCAGTGGATCTTTAAATGAAAAGAAAAAACAAGTTGGAATAGTAAGGTAATTAGCTGGGCACAGCTAGCAAAGTAAAAGCTGCTAGTTTCACCCTGTTTTGAACTTCTAACTCTGTTTTACTCCTCACTTGAACTTCTAGCTCTGTTTTATTCCTCACTCTAAAACAAACCTGGAAAACAGCAGTGGCAAAGCTGGCTCAAAACACTTAAGAATAGAATAGACTATTTCAGTTGGAAGGGACCTATAACGATCATCTAGCCCAACTGCCTGACCAATTCAGGGCTGACCAAAACATAAAGCATGTTATTAAGGGCATTGTCCAAATGCCTCTTCAACACTGACAGGCTTGGGGCATCGACCACCTCTCTAGGAAGCCTGTTCCAGGGTTTGACCACCCTCTCAGTAAAGAAATGCTTCCTAATGTCCAGTCTAAACCTCCCCGGTGCAGCTTTGAACCATTCCCGTACATCCTGTCACTGGATCCCAGGGAGAAGAGCTCAGCACCTCCCTCTCCACTTCCCCTCCTCAGGAAGCTGTAGAGAGCCACGAGGATGCCTCTCGGCCTTCTTTTCTCCAGACTAAACAAAGCCGGTGTCCTCAGCCGCTCCTCATAGGACATTCCTTCCAGCCTTGTCACCAGCTTTGTTGCCCTCCTCTGCACGTATTCAAGGACCTTAATATCCTTCTTAAATTGTGTAGCCCAGAACTGCACACAGAGTATTGTTCAGTGAATTGATTTATGTTCCTACAAGGCTGTGGTTTGACAAGTCCTCTCAAGGAGGCATAAGCTCGTGCTGACACCAGAAGAAGTCACGCAGCCTTCCCTCTACCTGCTCACTTTTTCCTGTGTTGCACACCACACTGTCAGCACAAAAACTTGGACATCCACGTAGTAAAACATACGGAGGGAACTGATCTGGGAAGGGAATTAATGCTGTTTGGCCTCTTTCTTTTCTTTTCCTTTTATTAACTGGGTTACCTCTCAGCTGGACCCATTCTGATCCAGGCCACCCTGCACTGGTGCCAGCAGAAGGGAGGAGAGGGACGGTACTGCATGTTTCAGTGCCGGTACCAGTTTATGCTGATTTAAACTACTCCTTGAGCTACAAAGTACAGAATCCCAATCTGTGCTCCTACCTGGAATAACATATTTACGTGCATGGGGCCTAATTTGGTACTGGCATCGCCTCTCTCTGGAGTGACCGGCAGGTTCCTTGCATGTTTGGCGTTATCGCCCCTGGACAGAGCGCCAAACGTCACTTCCACCAAGAGACACAATGAGGTCATAACTTACCAAACAGACATCCGCAGGTGACTTTATGACGCTATCTATTAATACCTTCCTAGGCACAATACCAAACTCTGTAAAGGGTTTGTTAATATTTAGTGAACAAGCCCAGAGAGAGCAAAGGGGTGGAAGTTAAAACCAGTTATGTTCGAACTAGAAACAGGACTCCCTTTTTGTTCTTTGTTTTAGACAGGGAGATGGAAAGTATACTGTTTAGAGGTAACCACAAAGGGAAACTTTGGTTCTCCATCCCTTGATGCCCATTTTATGGAGCAAGTGGTTGAAATTTTCTAGCCTATACTAGAAGCTAACCTAAATGATTTAAGGTCCTTTTTGACTTTCATATTTATGAAATCTGTTATGAACAAAACATCAAAGTTTACTCTCTAGATCTCAAAAAATCTCAGAGTTTCCAGGGAACACAGTGTTGGCATTAGATGTAGTCACATCACTATATACTTTGCTAATTATGAAAACTACAAAGATTTTTTTTTCAACTCGCTAAACCATTTTGTTCTAAAAGGCAAATTTGAATTCTGAAGCTTGGATTACATAGACCTCATCCACATTTTGAATTTTAATTTAAGGCTCATGGACATAACAGACAGAGGTTCATATCCATACCTACATAATGCTAAATATGGTTATCAGTAAACATGATACAATCATCCTATTTTCAGTGGTCATTGGAAAAGCTGCCACAAGCAATGGAATATATTGTCAAAGAGTGATTCTATGTAAACATGAACAGTTAAGGCAGAGTAGAAGTGGGTAGTATGCTCAAAGCTGTTTTCATACACTAAGACCAGGCAGCTACAGATAGCATTGCGTTTCACCTAGTCACAACTGCCCAACTTAATTCCCTAGAAAAAGTCAAGGTTTCAGAGTAGGTAGTGTGTGCAAAGTACCTTGTTTGCACTGACATTGTCTCCATGAAACTACCCCTGTGCAAAGTAGATATAAAAGCATTATTTAAGACATAAATCCCAAAGGTGTTAAAGAGTATTATGAGTGAATTTCTCTGAGACTGTGTTTGATCTTGTCTGAAGTACGAAAGCAGAAGCTCAGTCATCTGCATGAGGATGGGATTATGGCCACAGAATATATTTTACTTCTCTCAGAAGTCACTGACTAGGAGCACTGTGTCCTTCATAGCCACCATACAGTATCTTGAATATATGCAACGGTGTGCACACTCATTGCAACAAAAACTAAGTTGTCACTAATGCCCATCACTCAGAAGATACTCAGTGGGAGACTATTTGAAACTCCTTAGCATAAATGAATTTGGGGGCAGGGGGGGACAAAGCAGTAACACCTTTGGTTTTGCTGATATATCCTATGTTCCCCAAAAAGGTGAGGTCAGACCCAAAGGTCTTTCTGTTTGCTTTTGTTACCAAAAAAAAAAATTAAAAAAATCTATTTATGAAAAGGGACAGCTGAGGAGAATAATCCACTACATGAACTTCTGTCTTCTGCCCTAAGTCTGTTCTTTACATTAGTTTGTAATTGTTTCCAATAGATGATTGTTGGGTAAAATGACCTTAGAAGATGGTTTCAGTTCCAGAGATAAAAGTAGGCCCAAATGACATAATTCAGATCAAGCGTCTAAATCTCAAACATGCTAAAACAAGGATCTCTCTGAACATTAGTGTTCATTCATCCCATTAAAAAAGGGGGGCTCTTACAACCTTTGAAAGGAAATTTCACGTGCTCACATTTCTTTTGTGCAGAAGTATTCTCATAAGAGGCTCAGTTCAGAAATTTATTTAAACATGTCAATAACTGTAAGCTTGTGAGTCATTTCACTGAGTCCAAAGGGACTAGACAGTGCTGAATTACCCATAGGCTTACGCACCTTACTGAAACCAGGTCACTTTCATGTGGCTTTGAGAGCCACCCACAACTGAGGTTCCTACAAGAGCGTGGCATTTTGTTCAAAGGCAATGTGCTATTATGGGATTGTAGGAAATGAATTTCACTCTGCCACTCCCGTGGGTTGGGTTGCTTTGCCCATTACACCCACTCCATCAGTCCTTAAATCGGTCTTCCTACAGATATAAGGCTACACACACACCCCCGCATGCACACATCAGTCTGCAGTTACGTTTATAGATAACACTGGTTTCTCCAAGTTATCCTTACCTCCCTAAAGAAATAAATCACTTGAAAACTTAGTCATTTAAAATGGAGGGAATTTCCAGTTGGCCAATATGGTTTTGCTCATAGATATTTTTATGTAGATTATCACACTACTAAAGTCAAAGTTGCGATAATAATTCCCAGCTATTGAGTATTTGTGCCACAGTACATGTATAGGTATAAACACATAGTACACAAGTTTGTTAGTACTCTGAGTACTGTGATGACTTTTTTCCAAGGGCAATTAAAAGCGTTAAAAATGTTTCAGAGTACATCTAGAACAGGGTGAGACATTGCCAGAACAATTAATTTGAATATTCATGTTTGCAGTTATAGTTCACTGCAGCCATGCTGATCTAAGAAGGGAAGTGGAGCAACACTTACAGAGAAAAATTGCATCCTTCATTGGAAAATACCTAATTTGGAACAGATAATGCAGGTAGAAGCAATTCTCAGGAATAGAGTCTTCTTTGTGTCTTGGTTCTCAGGATTCACATTAAATTGGAAAGTTCCAGTAGAATCTCACCCAGAAAGTGGTGTCATGATGCAGATGTGATTTCATGGTAACTTGTACTGATGACACAGTATTTGTTCACAAATTAATTATGTCCATGACCAAGATACTACAAATAAGGATACTAAAATTATCTGATGGTAGGGATCTTCTGCACAAGGACATGAGAGCTTGAAGGCTATAGATGCATAGGAAACCTATCTTGTGTTTAAACATTACTGAAATAATATCATCCTGCAGCGCAGCCTTGATCAAGCTGCTGTTGTCTGATTACTGGATGGTCTTTCCTACTACTCCTTCGAAATTCCTTTGCTGAAGAGATTAGCTCCCTATAGATCTATGCAGGAGACAGCAATACTCCTAGCCCTGTGAAGCCTTATGGTAGCTATAACAAAATTCACAGTGATAGATTAAAGAAGCACAACAACAAGCCAGCCCACAAATCATTCCTAAATGGCACAGGTAGAAGCTCCAATGGCTTCACCGTGCGCTTTAAGGGAGATGGTGATGTACAGACCAAGGCCAGTACCTTGTGATGTCCTCCTTGGCCTTCCTTCGGCTGAAATGAGCTGCAGCGCTCATCTGCACGCAATCTGCAATCTTGGTAAAAATCATCCTCTGTAAGGGGGAGGGGGGGGAAAAGGGAGGGGGGGGGGAAAAAAAAAAGGCATTTTTATATCGGTGCATAAGACAAAGCTCTGGAAAGGAAGGAGTTGGGTTTTGTTCCCTCTTCCACCAAGATCCTGCGTAACTCCAGGCAGGTCATTTTTTCCCCTCCGTCCTAGTTATAAATAGGTGGTTAGTTCTCTCCTACCTTCCAGAAGTGTTAGGATGATAAATGCAGAGAAGATTTCAGATAACGTGGTGCTGGAAATAACAATTGTATAGGCATGAAGCAGGGGAAAAAAGTAGAAATAAAGAAATAACAGACACAAGAAGAATGACAGTGAAGGGTATTTTAAACACCCCAGAATGTGTTCTTCAGAAAAGAGAAGGAAGTTCGTTTTCTTGTATGGACATGGTTGTGGATCGAGAATGAGGCACAGGCAACCAAAGTACTCATG